ATTTTAAAATCATTCATAAAATTAAACAAAGAAACAAGAAATCCAAAGGGCATAAGTCTCAGAAGGGGAGGGTAAAAAACAGCTCCAATTCATTTATTAAGATATTATTCCCTGCAGTTGTTTTATCCTGTGTTTAGATACAAAACTTTTTATGAGTCTTCACTGCTTAAAGGATAAAGCCCCAAATCTAAAATTCTCAAAAATCTGGGTTAACTTTTTCCATTTCATTTCCTATAACACCTCCCTATGCAACATAAGCTCCCATCACACCGAATTCATCTCAATTCCTACACATTATGTACTTACACCATAAAGTTTCATTTGTTCTGCCTTACTCAGGCTATTTCATCTATATGAAATGTAAATCTCTCTCTTTTTTCACCTGATCATTCTGCAAAGATCATAGTCTTCGTTAAATTCTTCGCAGGCCCTACCATCTTCTTTCTGTATTATTAATATTTTAATTTTTGTATTCTTATTGCCCAAATAAAGTCATATGGCTGAGCCTGATATAAACAGAGAGATAAAAATATAATCTTTTCCCAGGAAGAATATTAAATATTTGTGAACAAAATGACAATCTATCACAGTCTGCCCTTCTGAATACAATCATGCAGATCCTTCTCCTTTCCTCTTTCAAAATGTACTCACCTTCCACACCAAGGAAGATAAATAAAAGTACAAGACTATCATTATTGCCACCTCAAAGCCCATGATCCATGAGTGATGCTGCAGTATCTGTTTGTTTTGGGTGTGTCTCCTCTTGATTTAGAGACCTATGAAATAATAAAGTCCAGTTATTTGCCTCACGACATGCAAAATACAATGGTGGAACATGGACTAGATAACCACAATGAACAATCTTATTCAGAAAGAGAAATAATGGAAGACACACATTGGTCCTGAAATCTCACAAGACAGAAGTTGCTGCTGACTGAAAGTGTGGGATATTCCTTGAATAGGCCCTGATTTTGCTCTCTGGGGATTAGTTCTAGTCCACTCTTCTCTGCGGCTCCTGTCTCACTCTCTGAGAAATTTTGCCTTAGGTCCACTAAGGGGGATATTATAGAACAGAGCCTCCTCGGAAGATGAGCACATCTCTCAAGCAGCTTCTCATTTCCAGATTGGGGACTCTAAGTGTTGTTTCACATCTCACACACAGTCTCTTTATACCAAGGCTGATGTTTCTTTTAGCAGTACTCAGTCTACTTCTCTTCCATTTGATTCCAGTCAACTCCATCCATGTAAGGCCATATACACAGTTATTTTTAGAGATTACTTTCTTTCTTTAGATTTAACTCAGTCACCTTGATCCCACCAGGCTTTGTTGAGAGAGCTACACCCTTATCTACTTGTCTGGACTTTCAAATTGTTCAGTTGAAATGATTTACTGAGACACCTTAACTTACCAAGATGTTTCAACGAGGTGATGGCTACATTCTTGAATAGGTCATTACCTTGAAGTTTTAATTGATGTTTTGGCTAAACATCTTTTCATTTTTATCTTATACAGTGGAGATAAGAATCAGTCCCACCTTCCAACCATGCCAGTCTCTAAATTTCTAGATTCTCTATTCCCTGTCATTACAGCTTACAAAATGACCAGCTATTTTCTGAGTCCATCTCTTTATTTAACACCTTCACAAATGTTGCCAATAGTAATTGACACATGCTGCTAACATACCCTTTGCCTGTCATTTTACTCACAGCTAAGAGTTCATCAGGGAGTTAACCATTTCCCAATTAACTGAGAACTGTTCCATCACTGTATAAACACATATTGCCATCCTTCTAGCTCGTAATAGTTGCCTTGTCATCTGTTGCTGGGACCTGAATCAAATGCCACATATTTTAGCATTTTTATTATAATAGTATGCTACCACACTTTCTGTGTCAGTCAGAGTAGGTTAGGTTATGCTGCAGTAACACAGTACTTTCAAATTGGTGACTTGCAATGATAAAGGTTTACTTCTCATTTTCAATACATGTTTACTGCAGATCAGCCATATCTCTACTCAGGTATTTCTACCCTGACACCAAGCCTCTGTCTAAAACACTGCTAATCTTGTGGCAGACAGAAAAGAGAGAATATGACATATGTTGGCTCTTGAAGTTTCTGCTTGTGCATGACACATTTTACTTTTCACATCTCATTTGCTAATAAAGCAAGTCATCGTATTAAACTTGGCATTAATGAGGCAAGTAAGTGATATCTCCAGGAGAGGCAGCAGGTATTTGTATACAATATAGTCTACCCCAATACCAGTCCTACTTCTGAAACTAAAATTTATTTTTACAATATGTATCGTCTACTACACTGTCATTTTCTAGACCGTCACTTGTATTCTTCCAATCCTTGCTTAAAATGTAGATCACAGATTCTTTCCCCTAATTTAATGTGTAAAATTTAAACTTTTACAACTTGACATTTTGGTTAATATTTAACAAAATTTATATTCCTTAACCCTACTTTGTTCACATTTCCAAAGGCATCATTTGATTACCTATATTATAGTTACCTCTAGAAATGAGGTCAGTGAAGAAAAAGTAAGCCACTAGATTTTACTTTCTTATTAACAGTGGTATTCCAGTATACCTATTATTTTATTATCAACTGTTATTAAAAATAAAATATTGCAAAGAGAGGCCTTTCTCCTTCTACCTTCTTTGCTGAAAACCTACCTATACTTACTGTTGTTAGATTTCTATATTTACTTCTAAGTATTTTCTATAATTTTTTTTAACATAGCCAATACTCCTTACCATAGTCTATAAGTTCAATGTCAGACAGATCTTTATGACCTCTCAGACCTCATTTACTTTCTACTCTTCTTTGTTATGGACTAGCCACACTGGCCTCCCTTGAGCATTTTTTTTTTTAATCTCAACCATTTCTCTCGACAATCGGAATGTTCTTCCTCTAGATCTTCACCAGATTACTCCTTTTCATTTAGGATTCAACTCAAATATTACCCCCTCAGATAGGCCTTCCACGTCCACTCTCAGTAAAGTAACCTTTCCTCCAGTTCCCCGTGTTCTTGTCTTTCTCATTATTCTATTTTATTGGCTTATCGCTGTCTAAATTATCTTAATTGTTTATTTATAGTTTGTTTTTCCAACCAGGATGTAAGCTCCATTAGGGCAGAACAATTTTCTCATTCACTGCTATCTCCTTGTTAGAACAGTGCCTAGTGCAGAGTAGGTACTTAATAAAGAGTTATTAAATGTATAAAAAAGACACAAGTCCTCCTAACCTTCATGATATATCACCTTAATAATCACCACTTATCTTTTTTTCCCTCTTACCTCACCGGCCACGTCTTCTCTCTCAAGCATCACATGTTGGAATTCCTCAGTTCCATGTCCTTTGTCTCTCTGGTCATTCTACTTTCTCTCCCTAAACAATGTCTTTCAGTCATACCACTTCATTTCCCATCAATAAACTGAGCCCTAAATGTATTCTCTTAGTCTAGACTGTTCTTGTGCCCTACTGAAATCCACTTGGATTTTACATACCTATCATTCTCTGTTCTTACTTCAATAATTGGCATCAACGTGCACACAGCTGGTCAAAACTCAACCTCTGAAGAAATTATCTCAGACTCATCCCTCTCCTAAATTCCCCATATTCAACCAAGCACCCTACTGGTGCTACCTCCTAAATATCTCTGTAATCTTTTCTTCATCATCACATTCCCTACAGTAGTCCAAGTTACCATTATCTCACACATGGACTATTGCATTGGCTCTTTAACCAGTCCCTCCGGTTTTATGCTCATCTCTCTAATCCATTCTTCACATATAAAGCAATCATTTATAACCACAGTATCTTGTTTTTTTTCCTTAACTTCCTAATGCTTTCAGTATTAAACTCATGACGTGTGATTACTGGCCCAGCAGATCTGATCCCCACTTTGCTATCCCTCTTCAAAGTTCCAACCATAGCAGAATTCCATCATCAACTCCAAAGATCTCTCTAGCTTCAGACCATATCACCTACGACCTCTGTTTTGTACATCTGTACGTGTGTGTGTGTATTCATCCTCCATTTTTACTTGGCTAATGTCTACTCCTCTTTCAGGTCTAATGTTACTTTTTCGGAGGAGCATTTTCCTACTCTTTCCAGTATCAATTATTTGTGTATCATTTGATTAACGCTTTAAGCTATACATGAGGTTGGGGGCGGAGGGAATCTCATTATCCTCAGCCCCCTAAAATCTGACCCGTGGAAGACTTTAGGGTTAAAAGACAGATAAATGAAAATTTACTGGAATATTGGAAAATATTATGTGTAGGGACACGATCATTTAAAATATATTTTAAGAATTCAATTTTGGGCCCAGGGAGAGGGGATAATGGCAATGTCGCAAAGGTCTTTGTAGGTCTGAACATTCAATTGAGGGCCAGGACCTAAGGGCTTAGCTATTACAGGACGGAACCATTGCCATATTTAAGGCATTTACTTTTTGAACCTTTGCCCATAAGAGACAGTCGAAGCCAGGAAGCAGCTGCAGTCTTCTTAAACCGCAGTCGTTGACCTTAGCGGCAAGAGACTTGACCTGCCCTCCTAGCGCCCGGCGCTCAGCTGTTACAAGAGCCTCTCAGCTCCCTCTGCGGCGCTCAGGAGCCGCCAGCGCGCGACCGGCACGCGCGCCCCAGCGCCTCCTCCCGCAGAACCGGCTCGCAGGCGCCTAGCAGGAGGACCCCTCTCGCAGAGCTCACGGCCCATTTGTTCGTCCGCCCGCCCGCCTCCATCTCTCGATGCGTGGCCTCCTGAGCAACTGCCTGTCTAGTCAATACAAATGTTCTAGTTTTCGACGCAAAAAATTACCCATTGGGACTATATACTTCACAGGAATAAGAGTGTTCAATTTGGAGTGGAATGTTGTAGGTCTGGCCAGGTTAGAGCAGACGCGACAGGCGCTGGATAATGCAGGCACTATTAAAGACAGCCGCAACCGGGCGCTCCTGCCGCAGGCGGCCCTCTCAGCCAGGGGTCCTTCAGATAGGAGGTCCTGGGTGACTTTGGAAGTCCGCTCATCATCTGTGCAGAGTCTAGCCGGTTCCGGGCCTTGCAGTATTGTTTTTCTTTGCTTCCGCACCCGAGACCTCTGTCGCAACCATGCTCCGCCATATCGTCGGTCAGGCCAAGAAGCATCCAAGCGTAAGTTCGTGACCCCTTTCTCAGTGTCTTCACGGGTCCAACCTGTGTCGGATTGAGGCTACCTCCAATCCTCTGGAAGCTTTCCTTTACAGCCACTTATCGTTCATTCCTTGAGGCTGGACTCAGTTGTCCCAGGCCCTTGAGCTCTGACCTTCTACGCCGTGCATTGTGGGGTTTAGGGCTGGCGGGGTGAAGGTGAGGGATACATTCGAGGAAAATAAACTAGTGAATGTTGGAACATTCTAGTGGCTGCGTCTTCTTGCGAATTGCTGGGACGAAGAGAAATAGTGCACCGTGTAGGTTAGAGACCAGCAAAGGTCAGGTTACCCATCTGTTGTGCTGTTAAGGATATTGTTTGTACTCACTGCATTGCACCACCAGGCCTTGTGGCAAATGTAAGGCTCTCTGATCTTGGAATCCTTAGTTTGTCTTTACGTCTTGACACTTTGGCGGAGTTCGATAGCGTAGATTAAGCGCAGTTACATTATTTCGTATGTTTCATTTTCCCCCAGCACTTCTACCTGCCGTGGTCCTAAAACTCAATCATCTAGTCTTTAATCTCTATCTTAAATCCAACTATCTGACTAAGCATTAAGCATTGGTAGCAGTATGTGTTCAGAGATTACGTCTAAAATCTGTATTTGTAATAGGTGTATTTCTCTTTGCTCATTCAGACTCTTTATTTTACTATGTTTGTGTTTTTCATAATGCATATATAGAAGTAGGCTTGCCAAGAGCTTGTTTTTCAGGCCTCGAAATACAGGAAGCCGGGAAATTTAATGGGAATGATGCATAAATATTAGAGAAATTGAGAAGACTTGATATATTTTCTTGGAAATTTTTTAAATTTATTTTTTTTTTCTCATATTAAACCAGAATCATCTTCACATCCTTTGGAAATTCCATTTCTTTTGAACATAGTTATAAGAAATGTTACCTCAGTGTAAGGTCTACCTTTATTAAAATTTTAAGACAATCAAAAAATAGCAGTTTGAAACTTGGGAATTAGTGTGTAAAAACTACTGTAGCCTTTTCGTTATTAGTATCTAGATATTTGAAGATGACTATTAATACTTGTCTATTTTGTATTTGGTTCTAGTTGATCCCACTCTTCATATTTATTGGAGCTGGAGGTACTGGAGCAGCACTGTATGTCTTGCGCCTGGCATTATTCAACCCAGATGTCTCGTAAGTACTTAAAAACATTTAGAACTTTGATGGTTTATCAAGCTGATTTAGGAGCCACAGTCTTTCTGGGGAGTTAACATCCACTAATAGAAAGAACCTGAATTTTGTAGTCACACAGTAAGTTCAAATCCCTAATCTGCTGTTATTTACTTTTCCTGGTTCATAAAATCATCTAAATTTCTCTGAGCCTCATTTTCTTATCAGTAGAGAACTGCTAATATCTATGTTGTAATGTCATAAAAATTGAGATAATAATAACTTTTTGTAAAATATTTAATCAGGAGTGCTGGTACATATAAATGTTTTTTGCCAGCTTTCCAACAATAAGGATTTTTTTTTTAAGTTGGAAAACAAGCAAGAAAAAAAAGGTTGATTCATTGTTAGTTTATGCACTTTTCTGTATATCATTTCATTGATGAAATAGAAAACTTTAAAAACAGCCAACTGTTTTTAAACAACTGCCCCAAGAGTCTCTGTGTTCTACCTTGTTAGAGATCTTGTCTCTCAACTTTATAGTGAAAATACCATGCCTCACCTAATAGAAAATTAGATTGATTTATTCAAAATATTAGCTTTTAAGAAGTGCAAAACTATTTTAAATAGTATTTTATTACTATAACAATTACAATGTTTTATTTTAGTTGGGACAGAAAGAATAACCCAGAACCCTGGAACAAACTGGGTCCCAATGAGCAATACAAGGTAAGCTACAGAATTGTTTCAAAATTGCTGGAAAGTATGTTTTAATAAATTTTATCAGGGAGTAGGGTTTTTTTGAAGTTGAATGTACAAGTAAAATTCCATTATAATGATCTTTGAAGAGCTGCTAGATCATTTTCTGAAATTAAAATAGCATAATTTTCTAATAACTATATTTTTCTAAGGACTTTATTCAGTCTTTAGACTCTGGACGTGAGATTAAGATATGTCTCAATTCTACTGATTCGATGAATAAAAAGGGAGAGATAGTATAGCTATTCTAACATTTTCATAGATCTTAGTCTAGTGCAGTGGTTCTCAAACTTCAATGTACATAGATATTAACTGAAAAGATTGTTAAAACAGATTCTTCAGCTGTACCTCTGCAGAGATTCTAATTGAGTTGGTCTGTTGTGGAGATTGAGAATTTGCATTTCTAACAAGGTGTCAGAGAATATCGATGCTGCTTGTCCATGGAGCACACTTTGAGTATCATTAGTCTAGTGATTGCTTTGGTTGACTTTTCTTTCTTATTAATGTGGTGGAGATATTTCATGTGATGATTAGTTGGAAGAAATGAAAGTCAGTTGAAACTTAAATTTTACCATGAACTTTCTAGATAAACTTTTTAACATCTTTCTTGAAGAGGGGTTTGTGAAACTGCTCTTCCAAAGAATGATTTTGTGGACTGAGACCATTTGTTTATCTTATTGAGATATAATTGACATATACCATTGTGTAAGTTGGAGGTATGCAGCATGTTGGTTTGTTATTGGTTTGATACATTTATATAGTGCAGTTTTATTACAACAGTAGCATTAGCTAACACTGTTATCACATCACATAATTATTCCTTTTTTGTGTTGAGAACAATTAAGATCTAGTCTCTTAACAACTTTGAAGTTTATAATACAGTTTTGTTGACTATTTCACTATGTTGTGTATTTGATCTCCAGAACTTATTTATCTACTAGTTATAAGTTTGTACCCTTAAACAACGTCTCTCCAAATACTCACTCCCTAGTAACATTCTACTCCGTTTTTCCAAGTTCAGCTTTTTAGATTATACATATCAGTGATATCTATATAGTATTTTTCTTTCTCTGACTTATCTCACTTAGCATAATGCCCTCAAGGTCCATCCATGTTGTCACAAATCTGAGACCATTTATTTCCCCAAACATAAGCTTCCTTATGTGTAAGAATTTTGTGTACCAAAGACAAACCCTTGCAATGTCAAATAAACAGAAGAAAAAACAGGATAGCTTTATTAGAGTATAATTCACATACCATACAACTTACCTATTTAAAGTATGTAACTAACTTATGCACTTTCCATTGTATGAAGCTGCTTCATCCAAAGAGAGAAATAGCAGTTTGTTTAAAAACCTTCAAGAAGAGATACCCTGACCAATGAGTGTCCAAGATCCTTTAGCAGATATACCTCCGTGATGGAGATGGATGCTGTCATTACCGCTAACAGCAACTTTTAAGATGATTATCACCTTTTGCTGTTATAAGCTTTCCATTTAACCTTCAGAGTATGATTTGGTTTCCAAATCTCTAAACCGATCTCCCTCCAAGAAACAGAAATGTGCTGGCAACGCTGAACTGAACCAACTGATCTGATTTTGCCTCATAAATGATAAACAGGCATCATGATTTATTTTTCTCTCATAATTTTAAGTCCATTCTAGAGAAAATGATTCCAGATCCAATAAACTTTTAAAAAGAAAACCAAAAACAAAACAAAAAAACCCAAAAACCAGGCCTTACTTTTTCCACCAAGGAGCATATTAGAGTCTCTGGGTATGTGTAATTCAAAAAGCTCCCCAGGTGACTTTGATAATGAAGCTCTGGAACATGATAACACATGCAAGTATGAGGCGATGTCAATTGGAAATGGAATGTTGCTGCAACAAAAGTCGAATGCATATGGTTAGGTTGGGCTGTGAATAGCTATGACGCTGATAATAGAAACTGGGAAGATGAATCATAGTGGCAAAATATTTGATAAAGTGTCACCTCATATAACTTGGAAAGTAGACCATATGTCTGAGAGTTATTAGAGAAAAAAAATTTGGAAAACAGGATGTTAATGGACTATTGCTGGCTGTATTTGCCAAGAGATAAGCTTGTAGAGGAATTGAGAGATTTGCAAGCAGAAACAAAAGGAAACCAAGGCCAGAAACTAGTGAGCCTAGTGGGAATAAAGCCTACTACTGCTCTAAACTCAAACAGTGAGGTAGACTAGATTATTTTATCATTCAGTGCCCCTCACCTAAAATAATTTGTTTTTCTGGCCCACTGACATCAGGTTTGGTGGCATGACTTGCTCTGGCAAATTGTAAGTGAGGAAGTGATATCTGCCACTTCTGAACCAGTGCATGGTTCCCCGCATTGTTCTTTTTCATCTATCACGAGACCAAAATTGACAGTTAAGGATTACTCATTCGGGATTGGATTGGAACAGAGTACATGGAGCAGTCAGCTTATAAGTGATACTTAGTATGAGTGAAAAATAAACTATTGTTGTAAGCCACGAAGATATGGGGGATTTTTGTTGCCACTTTGCAGTCTAGCAAAAGCTAATTAATACAAACAACAGAGAGGGCTAAAATAAGATTTAAGCATTAAAGGCCCAGCCACACTTCTCAACTGAATAAAATATCCTAAACCCAAATCAGAATGTGTTATGCCTTCCCAACTGTTACAGAGACGTCAAGGTCGTAGCTTCCATTAAATTGAGAAGAAGAATGGGGACATGGAAGCTGAAAAATAAAACACATTTGAAACTTACTTCAGCAGAGAATTTTGATACTGGCACATGGAACCAAATAGGAGCAAATACATCAGAAGCCTGCTTAGTTTTGAGAAAATGGCAACGATATTATGTAGGGGCTTGGTCCTGCTTCTTATTCAGTGTTTGGCAACTTGATTTTCAATTGCCTCTTTTGTAAAGTAAGAATTAGTAAGGTTGTGATAATTAACTAAGATAAACAAAGCATTCTGCCCTCAGTGCCTGGCATCTATTAAGAGAACCCAGCAAATGTTTATTTTGTTCTTAATATATAACCTGCAGTTCCTTTTATAGATATTCCATCTAATATTTTGTTCATAATAGCACAGCATTTTTTTTTAAGTGTCATCTAGGTTTAATTGCTTCATAAGAGAATACTGTCAAAACAAAAAATTTTGTTTTATGGCTTATTCATATTTCTCTGACTAAAGGTCTGTGTATGTATATGTATCTCAAGGATAAGCTTTACAACCTGGAAATTTTCCTTTTTTAAAAAGTCAAGTAAATAAGAAATTTTCAATTAGAGACAAAGCAAAGGGTTTGAAGAAATAATGGATACAGATGTATGAACGTCCTGCTTAAAAAACCCTGAAGAAAATGTTGATAATTCTGCAGTTTGGTTCTTTTGGAGTTAAATAATGTAGTCTTCAAGTAATTATAGCGTAATCTCTTAAGTGTTCTTTGGCACAAGAATGAGTAAACCCAAGATTCCAGCCTTATTTGGGATTATGTACAAATCCAGATGTTTCCTCAGAAATTCTAGAGCAGTTTACAACATAAATCATTTAAAAAAAATTTGTTGGGAGTTAGAGGCAATTTTTTAAAGTAATCATAGTACAATTTTTTTCTAAAATTAACTTCCGTTGAATATAAAAAATTTGGACATTACAAAATTTCCAAATATATAGTATTTAAATACAGTATTATTTAAAAGCTTTTGTACCAGAAGTGGTCAGTTGTCAGTTTGATATTGATGCAGTCTTGCTTAGAAAGTGATAGGAAAACCATCAAGGCAACTCAATTTGTGTCTAAAAAGTTATGTACACCATACAACAAAGCATTACCTTATATTACTAGCCTATCTTGGTTACTATAAATCTTTCCTATCTAATTTATAACATCTTGCTAACCAAAGTAGGGCTGATATTGCTTGGTATTCCTCTATTCTGTTGGAGATTCATTTGTATATTTAGTGGAGATGGAAGTAAAAACTTAGAATTGGAAATACATATCAGAAGGAATTCTTAATCACTTTGAAACAGAATTTTTTATAGGTTCTGACTAAAAGATTACACTAACGTTGCTCTTCTGTGGTAGATTAAATAGTTTTACCTTACACAACCATTATTAAAGGACTGGAATTTTAGTGTCTTTCTTTGAATGACTTTTACATTGTTAAATATGCTTAAAATTTTTCATGTCTTTAATTTTATTATAGAAATCTGAATAAAAATAATTCTAAAACTTCTGTACCATCTATGTATATTTGATAGATTATCTAAAATATCTTTTTTCTTTTCCAAGTTCTACTCAGTGAATGTAGATTACAGCAAACTGAAGAAAGAAGGTCCAGATTTCTAACTGAAATGTTTCTTTATAAAGCTGCTTAGAATGAAGGTCTTCCAGAAGCCATCCGCACAATTATCCACTTAAGAAGGAAATATTTCCCCCTCCAAATGCACAAAATCGTGTTGGTGTATTTTGTTGGGATTTACACTGATTAATAAATGTTTGAAACTTGATATGTCTCACTATTTAATGCTGAAAATCTGCTCTGAACTTTATAATTAGGGTATAGGAAATAAATACTAGAATTTAAGAAATTTTTTGAATTTCTATGTATTTGTATAATTTGAAAATAAGATTTTAAGTTCTTCAGTAAAACACTTGCATTTTGTGTATAGGCCATAACTTCCCTAGAGCACAATTAACAACTGGAAATTATACAAAAGTAGATTGGGAAGAATATTCAAGCCTCTTCGGCAGTAGCAAAATGCAAACTTGTGGATTTCTGTTACTGGCTGATATCGAAGTATGTGCAGTGTTAACAATTGCTTTTACCATGGCATTCTCCTTGCTGAAGATTTTAAAGGTTAAGTGGCTGTGGTCCTGCCAGGGATTGTAGTTGAATCTGAGTCCATCACTGCTAACCATGGAGCTAGTGGCCAAGAAGAGATCCTGAGAATTTCTGATGAATCTTGGCAGGTTTTCAAAGGAAAAGAAGTACATTAGTAGCAATTTTAAGATAGGGAAAATGTGAAAGAGTTATCTTTTTCATAATGGGCTGTGGAATTGGAATTCAGTTGGAGAAAATATTAATGTGCTAATTGATGTTGCTGGTTAACATGGCTCACACCATTTAGATAAGTTGCAAATGATCCAATTAGCAGAATATTTCAATGATGACTAATCAAGAATTAAGCTTGTCTCATAACAAGTTTTCATATAGGTGTGTATTTGTAAGTCATTACATCTTAGAAACTTGAGGAATTTGAGACAGTTTTGGATTTTAATATAGAAATATTTTGTTTAAAAAGGTCATAAAAGCACATTTACATGCCAGTAACTAAACTAAATGTTTGAATTACATGGATAATCTCAAATAAAATCTTTAAGAAACTAAGACTTGTATTAGTTAAATTACTCAAGTTCTTTCTTAGTCAAATGTGGATATTTGAACACGTGGTTTTGA